AATATTTTTCAATTTTTCAAATCATGTCTTTTTAAGAATAAATTGCAAGAAAATTAAAAAAATAAGTATTCAATACTGCGAAGCGACATTGAATATAAATTACTGATATCAATAAAAATATGAAAACAAAAGTATTGGTATTAAGATGAGGCGAACACTATCGCTTCATCGTGACCGTTATGACTGCAGGTAACGAATCGCGGATGGCATGAATCATTATTTTCTCTAAAACGGGCCCGAATAACCAATTGTTACCCCGATCGCCAACGATTTCAGAGCAACCACAAGGGTATCGAAAGAGAGTATTGGCATCAGGTCCGTTGAGAAGGACGGAGCTTGGGATTTTTCCTTTAACTTTAAGAAAACGTATCCCTATAAATTAATGGTATTTTTTAAACGCTTTTATTTATCTTGATTTGTATCATCTCAAATTTCATCTACTTCTAATTAAGATAGAAAACTGAAACTTCTATGACAACGTATTTTAATGATGTTTTAGGATGGTTGCCCACCCCGATAAACATTACGATATGTAGAATTTAATTATAATGTTTATCTCTAAATGCATTGTAGCAATGCATATGATACAGTGGCGAGCAATGACATTTGATGATAGGGAAGCTGTGTTTCTGTAAGAAGCCGATATCCAGGGGCAATCAGTCAATTGCGCGTCAGTGATGGTCTAGGGTCCATTCGTATTCGTTTTTTCGATAAGCCAGTAAAAACCGTAGACTTTTCTAAATGCATTTTTAATATCACAATTACATTCCGAATCTCTAGCCACGATATAAGGGCTACAATTAAAAATAAACTAATAATAACTTACTTGGTGAAATAAGATGTGTGGTGGATGTACGTACCAGTACATACCTGGTACAAAATATTTTTCAATTGTATAAATATACTTTTAAAGAAAATTATAATTAAATATAGCTTTGTAAAGAAACGTACATAAAAATATAAAATATTCTTTACTTTTTAAATCTTAAAACAATGCACATAGTCAAATAGTCCCTACGAGTGGCTAATGGATGGAATCGAAGACGGTTGCAGAGCGTGCATACACGCGGACTGCAAAATCCCCAGGGTGCCGATACCGGTCAATGTCAAATACCTCTTTTGTCGCATCATTAATATATCTCAAAAGACGCGACGGGGCTGTTGTAGATTTTAAACGTTTCTCACCATAGCTGTAAAAATCTAAATATGTTAAACTTAAAAGTCATTTGTTTTCTAACTAATTCGTTTTAGGACCAAGTGTCCTCAGAAATTTCCAAAGTTTACAACTTTTCGGTCACTGAACTCATTGAACTGGAAAAATTTCTGTCTTTATTACATTAATAATACGAAGAAATCAGTCTCTACTGTACTCGGCTAGAGATGGTTCGGTTAAGCTTTTGTTTAAGTAAAATTTCGGCTCTTTCATCAGGGTTTTGTTTATGTCCCCAATTCCCTAATCGCTTAATTATTTAACTACTTCTTAAGTAGAAATAAGTCGAAACCGGTTACTTTGTACTCGAATATTTGTAGTCTCGGGAAAAAGTGGAAAGACAAATTTTTATGACAAACGGATACATAAATCGTAAATTTAAGGAAAATAAATTCTAGAGCTTTTTCTGTACCTCGTGCATCTCTCTCATTCATTAAATTTAGTTGTAAATGATGCTGTCAAAGTAACAGTTAATTTTTTTAACATTGTACAAGAATTGTACACGTTTTTTCCTACATACCCTTAGAGATGGGATATACGAAATTGTAATATCACTGGCTTAACATTGAAATCCATGAGTATTTGTCATTCAATCCTACTGATGTTTAGATCTAACATTAAGCAGGCAAACACGAACAGTAACAAAAAAGAACTTTATTAGAAAAGGTTAGAACTGTCACAGACATCCTCGGGCAACACCCGGACAAAATCCAACGAACTTTTGCGCCTTTTCTTTTTTGACGTTGCCAGCCACTCTTGTTGGCAAGTGTTGCCAGACAGAGTTCGTGATCTTGGCAAGTGTTGCCAGACAGTGTTCAGGATCTCTGGCGCTGGCGGCCACAAGTAATATAAAATCGGAGAGCGGAATAAAAATATCAAATATTATTGAATTTTTTTAAACTCCTGTAGAACTATCATAAAAACATACCAGTAAATTCTTATCAGTTGGATTAAGTTATAAATCTACTCGTGATTCACGTAATCGGGCGAGGGCGGCCAAATATCTAGCAGGCAGGCGGCTAACAGCCCAGAACCGGTCGTAGATAGAATTGGATGCGGTATACGTGTAGCATCCACCCTAGGTCCTAGGCTTCCACCAGCTAAACCGGGTGAGGTTGGTGCTTTGTAAAGCGCATGCGCAAATATGGCTTTTTGGATGCTGACAATATGCCACTAATATTCGAATATACAATAGCAATCTTATGTTTCTTTTTCACATGTAGTATAGAAATTTGTAATAAGATACATAATGCGGTTATAATAAAATATTGTGCTTTTATTTTCATATAATTAAAATTAATATGTATTTATTTTTCAGAAAATACAAGGGAAGCGGGCATCCACCGCTTCCAATGACGGCACGCCACTAATATGATAACAGAGAACTATCCCCACCTCAATCTCGAGGAACATGATCAATCAAAGCAGTTTTTTATTTTTTTAAATAAATTAAAATTATTATACGGATAGAGTCGTCTTTAATACGGTTTATGAATAATTATCGATTTAATGCGGCGTTATGAATAACAAGTAGAACGGCGAAGCCATTCTTGGGACCAGACTCTCTCTCAGAGAGCGCGAGCAACGCATGCGCTAATCTCGCACTCGCGCCTGTTTTTAGAAACAGTCTCAGCATTTTGACCCGATTCTCGATCCTTGACTACCTACAAGTCTTGTTTATTTTATGTGCGCATGATTTTTGGGCACCAAATATTTTGTGCCAAATTGCAACTCCTGACATGTACTCCTTCACACTTCTAAGGTGTGCAGCCATTGACAGCAGCGCGATTTTAGAGACGAGACATAGTCTCGTCAATTACTAACAAAAAAATCTTCAAGACTGCTTTTTATTAATAAACGTTCTATATATTTCATTTGTTTAGAAAGCTGGCCAAGAGGGGAGGATTTTTTAAAACACTTTCCATCCTGTAAGCACTAAGAGGACATCTTTTAGACAAGCCCATTAATGGATTTGACCAGGCCCATAATGAAGTTGCTGGGTGGTGAGAGATAGGGCTGGACATATCCGGACGGACAACCACCTGAAAAATTCCTGGGACTTTTTCGACTCGTACGAATTCGACATCTGGTCTCCAGAGTGGTAGGCTGCTATCTTGACCGCTCGGCCATCCGGCCGTCAAGCAGCAGGGGTAGAGTGGGCCCTCTTCGCAATACTGATATCGGTCGTGCTCTTAATGAAATCATGTTTTAAAATTACGATAACGAACAATATGTGCTCTATTCAAAACACATTGCCACACTGATGATGGTTAATAAACTTCAGTGAAAACGTTTAATTTTATGTTTAATAAATTTTAGTTTCTTAATTTAAACATAAAATATATAATTTTATAGTAAAATACTGATGTCATCTTTCAATTGAACTTTTTTTTTTCGATAAGAATTCCGTTTCCATTCAAATACAATATGTTTATACCAATAAATGTTTGTTTGGTTATGGCAACGCAACACTTGTGCGATCTGCCTAAGGGATGCCTTCCGGGAGGTGTTTTTAAGGGAAACTGGCTCCTATTTAGGTGTTACAGACGTGGAGAAAACCCGGAAAACTCCACGTGGCCAGCCCGTTCGAGCGAGGCGCAAACCCAAGACCGAACTCCCAGTGTTCAGGGTACAAAGACCGCTTCGCCACTGGTAGCCTACCAATAAATGAGTTACTAAAAAATTGATGTAGAGGAGGAATCAAAATGGACTAAATTTGGCACAGATTTTATTGCATAATACAAACTCTTATACCACACCACTTTCAAAACTGTTTCTACAGCTACACATTTCTGCAATGTTCATACCACTTGACACTTGTCAAAGTAGTTAGGCACTACTCGAACTATTTGGCTATTTCCTCCGATGAGAAAGATCCTCATTACATCTGAATTCCTCTGAAATCTTTGACCTTAAAGAGATCCTCTACGCACAAAAGTGGCAATCTTTGTAACTTAAAGCTTGCTATATAATTCGATTTTAAAAAAGTCCTCGGTTCAAGCAAAATAATTTGGAGTGAGACAAAATGTTTACTTAGGAGAACACTCACCCTCGAAGAAAACCAGTGTACAGACATGACCTATAGTTTGGATTCAAGCAGAAGTGCAACTTTTCAATTCGGATCATAAAGGACAATGATACGTGCGAGAACATTTGGGTCTCATTCCCAAAGAAACTGGATCTGGAGAGTAAACCCAGGGGAATACACTACAACAATCGTAAGCCCAAACTTGCTTTAATGTAGTTGACTTCTCACGAGACACTAACCTACTAAAAATGTATAAGTACAGAAGACTTACCCTAGAAAGCTTCGTTTTCGTAACAGGGTGGATTAGCTTCTGTACGAACTGATAACCGATCAAGCAAACTCTATCACTTAAGGAAAAAACAGCCAGACAAATTTTAGTATACCAATTAAATTGATTGACAAAGATCGACCTAATAATCTATAAAAACTAATATCAATCGCAATCGTCCTTCCTCGTTCATAAATCAAACGAATTTATCTTGTTTACATTATACATTTAAATTGATAAACTCTATAATTGTGCAACAGATGAGTTTGTTACGTACTATAGTAATTATCACATGACTTACTAATTGGCATTCGCATTGTGGCGTCGATATCTACTAAGAGTCATATTGAAAAAATGTAAATCGCCGCATTGATTGTTTTCGCTACGTTTCAGAATGTCATATTACTAGCGAGAATATATACAGTATAGACAGCTATATTAACAGTGTCACTGACCAAAATCACCCCGCGGAAAGGAGCAGTATTCATGTTAACATGAAAGAAGAGAGCAACCACCCCAAGTTCAACTGGGAGATATTCACTGATGGTGCCAAGAACGATAGTGGCACTGGGGCGGCAATGGTCATTTATAATAACCAAAAAGCCGTGGCACACGAAGAGTACTACAAGTTGGCAGACTTTTGCACCGTTAATCAGGCCGAGCTATGGGCAATGGAAAGGGCCCTACTCTACATCACCAAAAACATCAAAAATTTCAAGGGCCCAATAAACATCTCCACGGACAGTCGCTACGTATTAAACAGCATAAATGGCAGTAAAAAGAACACTAAAACAGGAGTGAACATCCAGCATCTTGCAAGACACTTAGGCAAGCAGAGACAAATCACTTTCTGCTGGGTTCCCGGGCACTCTGGCTCCCAAGGGAACGATAGGGCTGATATACTGGCTAAAAAGGCCGTCAGCAGCAACCAACTATCTATCGCTTTTGATAAGATCCCCCATCAGTTATATACACAGGTACATAAAAGAGAAGATCAATAAAGAATGGCAAAAGGGCTGGTCTAACTCGTCAACAGGAAGGACTACCTACCGCTTCTTACCATCCATCACTGGTCGCTAGGGTTTCTTTCCCGGAATCCCGTTTTCCCGCCGTTTATTCTCTACGAGAAAAATCCCGAGAAATTTTATTTTCCCGGGAAATCTCGCATTTCAATAATAATTTATCATATCAGGTTTTCTTTCTATTATTTATTATACGAAAAGTTGCATCTTGAAGACTCACCTAAGAGAGAAATTTTGAGGTTTCATGCTGCATATTATTACCTATATTTTACAAGTCTACTTGTTAGTTCATGTAATATCTATGTATTGTGTTTGCGCATCATTGAACAGCGGAGCACTCGCTGAAAGTATCACTCATCGCGCTTTAGTTTATTTTTTATTTCATCTTTAGAAATAAAATAGTATTTTTTTTCGTAATCATTAAAACTCCCAATGAAACGCTTTATTTTACTTTCATCTTATAATGTAGGAGAATATAAATTAATTGAGCCTAACGTGTCCGCATGGGTGACATTGGCCCTACACTTTTAGTTACTTACTAGAAAATAAATTAAATTATTCAAATTTATGATATTCATGTATGATCTTTTTTATCCATATAAAATTCAATTTTACTATCTCATCCCGGAATTTCCCGGGATCCCGGGAAAAGAAATTATTTTTTCCGTAATCCCGCTGGAGGCAAATTTCCCGGGAAATGAGAAACCCTACTGGTCGACAAGCCTTGAAAAATTTATCACCGAGTGCGGGATCTTCGATCATTCCAGCGACCGGGCCTGTATGGAGGCTCGCAGTAACCGGCCACCACTCCTTTACGCAGGGCGACCCTACTTTTGTACTAGGTTGTCCTCTCAGCTTGCAATGTGTAAATAGGCGCATCAGAATAACTTATGAAGTGTTACCCTACTGTAACACGGTGTCGTCCTCTCCATCTACAAAACCTTATCCATGTACTTAGGATTATATATAATACTTTATCTATGTACCTTGGATTATACAAAACCTGTTATGTTACCTCTAGTGAGGGCATGTTACCTTCTATCTGCGGTATTGTGATTATGTATCCCACGGAAATCCACGATATATTAAATTGTATCCTCTGTATCGTCATGTCTCATCTGACCAAATTGGTCCCTGTAAATATCAATGTTTTGTCTTAAATAAGTGCGATGAAACACGCCAATGAGATCCCACCCTTCACACTCCCCTTCAAACCACAACTTCCTCTCCTCCCTCACCCCCTCCAACTTCTAAGGGCTAAGTCATAAGACAGCCTTCTCTCTTTTGGACTCAAGTCTGTCTATAAATCGTATTAACAGAACGATAAAATCATGGTGTTATTTTTATAAGGTGATGAACTAACTTATAAAAGTTTCTTTATTTTCGCAATTTCAAATTCCTCCCATTACAACCTAGGCAACAAAATGCTCTTAGGGAAGGTTCTGTTAAGTGAATTTACAGTACTAGATTCATTACCATCTGAATGAAAATTCTGGAAAAACAGTGAAGAATTTCACGAAATTATCGAGTGAAACAAATTCTAATTTGCTTCGAATTACAATATTTAAACTTTGTTATTCTTGATAAAAATTGTTTTCTTTTCTGGTTAAAATTATTTTAATTTTCTAATTTTTGTTAATTACGAACTCAACGGCATCCAAACTATTTTTCATGATTTTAATTCGAATTTTAACGGAAATCCACGATATATTAAATTTACGAATCTAGAATTTTTCGATTTATTTCAAAAAACTGCTTTTCTTTTTCTTGAAATTATAATGGAAAATTTTCTTGTATTCAAAATTCGAATAATTATTTAAGTTTTTATATTACACTTTAAAACAGTTTTAGTATTAACATTGTCATATTGGTCAGTTTCATTAAAAAAAAGTGATTAATGATTGGACTAAATGTGAATTAATTTGTTTTACTACATTTGTTTGAATAAGCCCCTATTATACGTTCCTGTATTCTCTTAGTTTTTGATTTATTTACATGAAAGAATTTGAAGTAATATTTGCTATAATAATCATCATGCTTCAATCTTTTTCTGCATCATATGTTGACATTCACATTTAAATATGTTTTAGCTGATGAGAATGACTTATCTTTCAAAAGTATTTTCATTCTAACTGTCAAGTCATTTTGCAGTTTTTATTATGACAAATTTTTAAGGACTTTTATAGTTTACAGTCAAACAAAGTACTAAATAAGAAAAGGACTATCTAATTTCCGTAATTAAAATAATATAAAACTTATTTTGGAATTACAATTGCCATAGAATTGGCAGTATTGGTAACTTATATAATATCCTTATGAAACTTTATTTCATAAGGACATATATTTCATTTTATAGCTCTATAATTTTGTGATTTACATATTTTTTATATATAAATTCAAACTATTACTGGCTTGATAGCTGAGGCAATTGAGTCATCAACCTACCACTCTGGTGGACCCAGGATTGAATCCAGATGAGAAACTAGTAATATTTCTTAGCTTGTCCATCTAGGACATGTCAATCTCAATCCCTCATTGTGGGCCTGGCAACAATGCGTTGTGAAGAGAGTAAATTACTTTATAAATACAATATTGTGTAGAAAATTCATCCAACAAGAACATAAATGGATGTGATATATTTTTATATCATTTTCTATGTATCTTTAAAAAAATCTGTTTTATCAAGCAAGAGGACAAAAATTTTTCCCTTGAAAACACTTACAGTCTATTATGTATGTAATTATTACAAACAAAAACAATACTTTTACATCAAAATTTAAGTTGTACTTTGATTATTATATTTACTATAACAATAATTATGTGTGATAGGTAATTTCTTCTAAAAGAAATAAGTATCAAATCCATTTTAAAAATAAAAATTAGCATTTATATTTGAAACTTCTTTACATATATTCAAAACTAAAATTTTTGTGAAGGAATTTTAGGTAAATATGAAACAAAAGTATAAACTTTACACAGATGCTAATATCTAAAAAATAAATGTGAAGTAAAGTAAGTTTTATTGGATGACTTTGCAATTACTTTTTAATATTAAAAATAAAAACATGTTAATTATATTTATTTTTATACAGAAACAGTGTACAACTTTTTGACAGTGAATAGAGAGCATTTCTCCAATTTTAAATAGTTAAAAAAACCATCTAATAACTTTAAATATTCTTAAATTCCTTTAACAACAAATGTGAAACATTTTAATTGTATAAATCAGTCTGTACTAATCAATGACTGAAGCAAAATTTATTGATATTCAACAAAAATGGCCTAAACTACTTTTTCAAATATATATGATGTCAAAATGTATTCATAATGATTAGATGATCATATATTTTTTTTAGACTCTTAACCCAATTATAGTGTATTCTGCTGTTGATGAACAGATTACTTCTAAAAATAATACTTTTAGACAAAAGAAAAAGTGTTCTGATAAACACTTTTAATGATTTGGTAAATTAGGCAATTGCTTCACAAACAATAATTTTTTTCAACGTATAGCAATCATACCAGATTCTAAAAGTTTCTGAATTTTTGCAGCTATTTCTGGATTTTTCAAATGTCTGAAAAAAAGTTATTATTTAAATTAGTCTGCATGTTTTAGTTACAACTTTAAGATAAAAAAAGAGATCTTACTCCTGAATTGCTTTTGGGTCACTCTGCATTTGCTCCAGAATTAATCTCATTGCTGGATCCCCTAAAATCTTTTGTACTTCAGGATCTGCCATAGCTTTCTTTCTAACTTCTTCTGGATTAGAATTCAAAACCTGCACACATTTTCTATAACCATCCATTGCTTCCTAAAATATACCAAAGTATAAATTAACATTGTATATATGTAAAGTAAAACTCAGAAAATTGAAGAATAAGTTGTAGTTAATGCAAAAACATTTATTCTAGTTTGAAAAATTTTTATTGTAGGATAGTCTTATCTAATTAATAATGCAAATATACATTAAGTAATTTTAAAGTAATACATAAAATTAAAAATTAAGTGCTTTTAAGCACTTCTAAAAAAATTTTGAACACTTATCTTGAAATCTTAGCATGGAGAACAGATCTTTTTAATTCATTTTATTTTAAGAGTAGAAGTTAAACATAAAATATAATAATAAATATAAATCCTATTAAATATTTGATTGCACATAGTATTTTTGTATTATAAAAATAATTATATCAGCTGAAATTGTACTATTTTATTTATCATGAAAAAACAATTTGTACAGATGATATGGCTTAATGTAAATTTTACTAGCTTTTTTCTTATAAAAGATGTTAAATGTTTAATTTCTCTTTTTTGTGTTGTGACTATCATTATTTAAACATATCCAGGACATTCATTATTTTTGATTCAATCTGTAGTACTGTAATTATTTTTATTTTATTTTACTGTCTAGCAAAAGCTGTTTGACTGATACATGAATTTTACTTCTTTTTTTTTTTGCCTTTGTCAATGAGATTATCTGCATATATTTGTAGAACATTAACTGAAGTCTAAAGTTATTTTTTTACTTCAAAGTTTTAATTTCTTCAAAAATTGACTTTTCTTCTTCATGAAAGAGAGAATAAAGATATCAATATATTTCAGTTGATCATATTTCTATTTATCAAATGGAAACATTTGATTACCTTACTCATATTTAATTATTTGGATTACTTAATATTTATTATTTAGATAAAACAATTCTAGTTCTTTCTGAAAAGAACTAGAAGCTCTTGAATGTTCTTTCACTGCTATTAATGTTCTATAGGCAGTTAGCCATAGCTGTTTAATTTTTATACCAACTATATTAATTTTACAATTTCTTATGTAATCAATAATGATTATTTGTGAAAAGTAAGCCTTCTAATGTAAATTTTAACTTTTCTCAATGTTTTTCCTGGTTCTCCACCTCACAGAGAATCCACTTACATAAGAAATTTTTGACCATCGATGACCATTAGTTATTCTGTTATCTAGTTTGACTGTTCAGCAGAAAACAATTCTTTAATTTTTGTAAATGTGATTATACAGCTCATTTGGTTATAAGTCAGTAAGCAATTTTAAAAAGACTTTGTGCATTTTTGCCAAAATTTCACACTTAAGCATCAAAAAGATTTAAGCAATGTAAGTATTTGTAATGACTGTAGGAACTTTTACTAATTTTTATTGTATAGTGTGTACACAATTTTATTTTTTATAAATAATAAAGAATATTATCTTTTATATTATAATTGAAAATATCGAGAATATTTAATACACTTGTACACTGTATCAAAGTCTCAAAATATTATGTATAAGATAGTTTTTTACAAAATGTTTTTAAATTCGATTTTTATTTATCAAGTTTAAATAAAAAATTCATATATTATAAGACAAAAATTTTAAATATTATAAATGCTAATCAATCAATAACAAATATTTAGATATTTACATCATTAACATAACTATTTTTTTAAAAAACTTATTAGTTCATTATGAAAAAAGTTCTAGTCTAAAATACCTAAATGATTACATCAATATAAAGTATATTTCTCCTACTTGATTATTTGGATCCAGTTCTAGTGCTTTCTGAAAAGCACTAGAAGCTCTTGAATGTTCTTTCATTGCCATTAATGCCATTCCCTTTCTAATATGGCCCTTAACTGAAATAATTTAAAAGTTATTTTAAACTTGGTTAATTTTAATCATTAATGATATAACACCCGGTTTAAAAAATTTAGACTATTTTCAAATTAAAGCAGAAATTTAAAAAATAGAAATACAGTAGAGCGTCGTTTATCCGAAAGAATTCCAGTCGACAAATTTAAATTTTCGCCAGTGCTGTGGCGCTGTAATCTTTGGCTATGTCTTCGGCCACTCAAATATTTTACGTTTTTGATACTAAATTAACTTCTGAAGTATAATTTTTTATTGTTTTTATATTTTTCAATATATTTATTTTGTTTGTACAAAATAAAAAAATAATTTTTAACGATACAATAGTCTTCGTTAGGCTTACATCAACAAAAATTCAACGCGAAGCGACACGCAACGGAGAAAAATTTCAACACAGGATAAATTAATATATTTTTTCGTACATAATTGGTTATCCGAACAAACCCAGTCCCCAATTGATTCAGATAAACGACGCTCTACTGTACATATTTCTATTATATTTTTAAAATTTCTGCAATACAGTATTAAAACAAAAGGAATTGTTTGATAATGGAAGTTCTTTTTGTTTTAAATAAATGATCTTAATTACATTAAATAAGTTTTTAATATTTAAATTTCAGTTTTTTTTAAAATTAAAATTAAATAATATAATGTAAATTTATAAGAATATTCAATAAAACAAAGTATTTATTACAATGTGTAAAACATTGTAAAGTTTTTAAACTTTGATATTATTGTTCAGTTTGGATTTGAATTTGAGAACTTAAATATAAAATTACCTGTAAACTTTAAATTTCTATAAATTATTACATTAATTAGCTTCTATTATTTTAATTATCTTAAATCATCCATCAATGATTATCTAGCAATTTACTATTTGTTAACACATTAAAATATAAATTATATATCATTTCATAAAATAAATTATTTAATGACACCGAAATTACCAAATTCTGGATCTAATTTAATACACTGCTCAGAATCTTCTAATGCTAAACGGAATTCTGCTAGCTTTTGATAACATGCTGCTCTATTGCTGTACAGTTTAGCATCTTCAGGATTTCGTTTAATGGCTTCTGTGTAAAATTTCATTGCTGAAGGATAATCTCCTAAAAATAAATAAGTATAAAATAAGTATTTCATTATTTAAAAATAAGTATATTATATATAAAACTTTATACATGAAAATAATCCATACCTTCCTGAAATTTTTCATTTCCTTTTGCTTTTTCTTCTAATGCTTTTTCTGGATTAATGTAAGCTTTCCTTTCTTCTTCTTTAATTAATTTTTCTACCTAAATATATTTTAAAGTAAATAAGAAAAATTATTATTAATATTATTCAAATATTCTAAGTATTTGTCCAAAATGTTTTATATCAACTATTAAAATCTGTTATTTTAATAAAGAATAATTTTAATATTTTATGTTAAAATTAAATCCACTGCTAATATACACTTAATATATAATGTTCTGAATAAACAATACAAATACAATATTTAATATAACACAAATATATACCATATCACATATTGTATGAAATACAAGGAATGAAATTATTAGATATTTTACATATTTTCATAAATATATTGATACTAGTCTTCGTAAAAGTTTTACCAAGACTAGTGGCAAATTTTTTGAACTGATTTCAAACAGAACAAATGAGTATGCAATGCAGACAAATGGCTTAGAATTGAACACTTCTGAGCACGAAATAAGAAAACTTTTTGCATCCCATATTATAATGGAAACCTACAGTTTCCACACTACCAAATGTATTGGCAAAAGAGCAGAAGAATATACAGCATTGCTGACATTCATTTCAATAGATTTTTTAAATTATGAACCAACCTTCATCTTGTTGACAATATTACAGAAAGTAACTCTGAAAATGACAGATTTTGGAAAGTTAGGCCAATCACAGATCACTTTCTTTCTAGTTGCAGATTATTTGATTTGAAAGAGCGTCTTTATATTGACAAACAAACGATACCACATCAGTGGTGTGCCGTGAGATTTGATGATAAGAAAGCTGGTTTCTGTAAGAAGCCGACTTCCAGGGGCAATCCAGTTAATTGCACATCAGTGATGGTCTAGGGTCCATTCGTATTCGTTTTTTTGATAAGCCAGTAAAAAAAAAGGAGACTTCTCTAAATGTATTTTTAATATCACAATTACATTCCGAATTGCTGGCCATGATACAAGGACTACAATTAAAAATAAAATAATAAAGACTTATTTGGTGAAATAAAATGTGTGATGGATGTACAGTATACATACCTGGTACAAAATATTCTTCAATTATATTAATATACTTTTAAAGAAAATTATGATTGAATATAGCTTTGTAAAGAAACATACATAAAAATAACATAAAATCTTCTTTACTTTTTAAATCTTAAAACAATCAACTTAGTCAAATAGCTCCCTACCAGTGGAATCAGAGACGGTCCTGCTAGATGTGCGGTGTGTATATGCACGTGGGCTGCCAAATCCCAAGGGTGCCGATATCGGTCAANTGTATACTATACATACCTGGTACAAAATATTCTTCAATTATATGAATATACTTTTAAAGAAAATTATAATTAAATATAGCTTTGTAAAGAAACATACATAAAAATAACATAAAATCTTCTTTACTTTTTAAATCTTAAAACAATCAACTTAGTCAAATAGCTCCCTACCAGTGGAATCAGAGACGGTCCTGCTAGATGTGCGGTGTGTATATGCACGTGGGCTGCCAAATCCCAAGGGTGCCGATATCGGTCAAATTCAAATGCCTCTTTTGTCGCATCACTAATATACCTCAAAAGACGCGACAGGGTTCTTGTAAATTTTAAACATTTCTCACCATAGCTGTAAAAGTCTAAATATGTTAAACTTAATAGATTGTCTGTCGTTCGTTTTCTGACTAATTCGTTTCAGGACAGGGTGTCCATGGAAATTTCCAAAATTTACATTTCAGTCACTCTCATTGAACTGGAAAAATTTCTGTCTTTATTACATCTAATATCAAGAAGAAATCAGTCCCCACTGTACTCAGCTAGAGATTGGGTCGGTTAAGCTTTTAAGTAAAATTTCGGCTCTTTCATCAGGGTTTTATTTATGCCCCTAATTCCCCAATCTCTTAATTATTTAACTACTTAAGTAGAAATAAGTCGAAACCAGTTACTTTGTATTCGAATATTTTTAGTCTCAGGAAAAGTGGGAAGAAATTTTTATGACGATACATAAATCGTAAATTTAAGGAAAATAAATTCTAGAGCTTTTTCTGTACCTCGTGCATCTCTCTCATTCATTAAATTTAGTTGTAAATGCTGCTGTCAAAGTAACAGTTAATTTTTTAACATTGTACAAGAATTGTACACGTTTTTTTTCTACATCCACTTAAAGATGGGATATACGAAATTGTAATATCACTGGCTTAACATTGAAATCCATGAGTAATATAAAATCGGAGAGCGGAATAAAAATATCAAATATTTTAATGGATTTTTTTAAACTCCTGTAGAACTATCATAAAAACATACCAGTAAATTCTTATCGGTTGGGTTAAGTTATAAATCTACTGGTGATTCACATAATCGGGCAAGGGCGGCCAAATATCTAGCAGGCAGGCAGCTAACAGCCCAGAACTGGTCCTGGATAGAATCATTGGAAGCGTTATACGTGTGTAGCTTCCACCAGCTAAACCGGTGAGGTTGGTGCTCTGTAAGGTGCATACGCAAATGAGTATAATCTGGCAATATAGCGCTTCCATTCCGCCACTAATTTTCGAATATACAGGAGCAATCTTATTGTTTTTTTCACATATAGTATAGAAATTTGTAATAAGATACATAATGCGATTATAATAAAATATTGATTTTAATTATTTCAAAATACGTTAAAATATGAAAATAATCGCGCAATATGTCTTTATATTTTAGAAAATACAAGGGAAGCGGCGCTTCCCCCGCTTCCAAGGACGGCACGCCACTGCTAAAGAAAGACACATCNGAAAATACTTAGAATATGTATTTATTTTTTAGAAAATATAAACAACATGTATTTATTTTTTAGAAAATACAAACAATATGTATTTATTTTTTAGAAAATACTTATAATATGTATTTATTTTTTAGAAAATAAAAGGGAAGCGGTGCTTCCACCGCTTTCAATGATGGCATGCCACTGTACCACATAAAGGAAAATTGAACGTCTAGCAGTATATCAAAAATAAACCAACAAAATGGGGAATCAAGCTGTTTCTTTTTTGTGGAAAATCTGGTATTATGTATATTATAGATTATGAAGGAAACACTAAAAAATTGATAAAGACTTACAAACATATTTTGGATTTGGTGCTGCTGTAGTATTAATTCTTGCTTCAAGGATACATGCTGGTATGAATTTTATATTATATTTGACAATTATTTCAATTCTGTGCCCCTGCAAATGAAACTAAATCAATCTGGAATTCTTTCTGCCGGGACCATAACAAAAGATAGGTTAGGGTTATGTCCACTGTCTTCAGAAAAAATCATGAGGACAAATGGCAGAGGAAGTGCTGAGGAGCTTGTGACACAGTCTGGGGAAGCTGTCCTAGCAAATTGGTTTGATAATAAAATAGTGTTATTTGCATCAAACTATGTAGGATTAGGTACTTGTGATTCTGGGACAAGAAGAACAAAGTTTATGTTCAAGTAAAAAGACCACAAGTAATTCAAGACTATAATATATGTTGACAAGGTTGATCAACTTATGGCACTCTATAAAATATTTATACAATCAAAGAAGTGAACACTGCAGATGATTTTTCATTTTGTGAATTTAGCAATTTGTAATAGCTGGTTGCAGTATAAAGAAATAGCCAAGTGTCTTCAAATTCCAAAAAGAATGTCATGCATTTGATTCATTTTCATTCTGAAATAGCTGAAGCACTGTTATTTGTCGCTGATCTAGCAATTCCTAGAAAAATAGGATGACCTTCTATAGAGGAACTATAAGATAGAGAAAAATCAAAGCAAGAAAACACTTGTGTAAAAACCATAAGCTCTCTGAATATGGTACTATTTTGAGTTTTTTCTTTATGAATAGTTCTAAATTAGATAATATTGTGTTTTTAAATTCTACTAACAGTCTGCACTATTACACTATACCAACAAATATAACTAACATACTAAAACTAGGACTAGAATACAATATGCCACTGAACGATAAAGCAATTACTATAATATCCAAAATAGACAAAGCGGTAAATCAGATAAAAATAGAGAATAAGTGTAATTTAAAACATCAAATAAAAGAAGACATAAAGAAACTAAAAAGCAACAATGAAATAGGGAAGATAATGTTAAGAGATAGGGACGGAAAAGAGTATTCAAAGAAATGCGCAACACTAAAAAAATACTTGAAGAAAAATAACCTAGGCATAATGAAAGCTGATAAAACTAATCAAATCATCATAGTTGATAAGGAATGGGAAAAAAAAGAAAAAATCTGAAATAGCATTAACGAATGATTTTGTTGAACTAACAGAAGAACCAGAAGAAGAAATAAAAAAAATGGATAAAGAAAGAAATCACAAAATTATATAAACAAGAAATGGTAACACCAGCTGAGAAAAAACAAATATTAAACTATAACAATATCAGAAAACAACAACTTAAAATAAGGCTAAAAACACACAAACAGGAGATATATGCAGACCGTTAGTAGACTTTAAAAACACAATACAGTAGAACCTCGAAAACTCGGCTCTCGATAACCCGGCACTCTGGATAACTCGCCACACCCTGGCAGGGCAAAAAAATCCTTAGTTAATTAATTTTCATTATAGACAGATTTATGCCTCAAAGTATTTTTCTGAGGTCTGTCTTATCGGGTAAGTTACTGTACACAGTGTATTCATTAATTTTCATTTTCATGTAGTAAAGGCTCTATGCCTTCATAAAGGACGTACTTTTCCTTTGTTTAAGGGTATTTGGGCAGTTTATTCTCTGTTGTATTCTCCAGCAAACAATACATACAAGTACAGTACACTATTTTCTGAGGAAACACGCATACTTATCCTTTTTTAACCCCATTCCCAATAACCCGGCATTTTCACAAACTCGGCCACCCTTCGGTCCACATTAGGCCAAGTTTTCGAGGTTCTACTGTATTATCTAATTTAGAACTATTCACAAAGAAAAACCTCAAAATAGTACCATATTCAGATTACTCAATAAAAAAACACTGACAAATTAATAAGAAAACTGATGAGAGTTAAAATAAAACCAACATATAGGCTACTGAGTTTAGATATTCTATCTATGTACCCATCAATAAAATGGGAACTAATTGAAAAAAGCCTATGCAACCTAGAAATACATAACTGGCTACTAGAGCTAATAAAATACAGCTTTAAAAATAATTACTTCCATATAGATGAAAAAATATATAGACAAAAAAATGGTATTAGTATGGGAACAATAATCGGACCAAAACTGGCAGAAATATGCATGAAAGAAATAGATAAAAAAACTGGCAAAACTAAACGGAGTAATATTTATGGCTAGATATGTGGACAATATCATAATAATATATGAAAAAGAAATAACTAGCAGAAATATAATATACAACTATGCAAACATGCTAAACAATACCATTAAGTTTGAAAGTGAAACAGAAAATGAAATTAACTACCTAGATATAACTCTATAAAAAAACTCTCTCAATATAAAACCTTACAAAAAAAGCAGCAATACAGACAAAATCCTTAATTATAAGTCATATAGTCTGATTACAGTAAAAAGAAATATATTTATAACAGCAATAACTAAAATTTGGAACAGAACATCTAAGGCAGAAGAAAGAGAAAAACAAAAAAATGAGCTAATAAATATCTTCATATTGAACGACTATCCAAGCAGAATACTAAAAAAGTGGATAAATGCATTTAAGAAAAACAGATTCAATGTTGAAAATAAGAATGAGAACACTACATATATGTTGTTCCCTTGTATTAAGGGAATATTTGAAAAATACAGAAAAGTTTTCAGTATGATGTTACACTAGTAGCCAAATTAAAAAATAAAATTAAAAACAACATCAACACCAATAAGTTTAAAAATAACGAAATACTAAACCAAACAGGTGTAATATATGAAATAAAATGTACATGTAAGAAATCAGTGATATACATTGGAGAAACAGGAAGGCAGCTCGGTACCAGAATAAAAGAAAATAAAGCAGCAATTAGACTTAATTATAACCAATTACCATGGACAAATCACTGTAAGGAATTCGGATGCACAATTAACGAAAAAAGTGTAAAAATAATCCATAAAGAAAAAGACTGTTACCTACGAAAATTCAAAGAGCATTTCGAAATTGTTAATAAAAGCAAAACCATAAACTTAAATGATGAAAATGGAGGTTGACAACGTGTGGGAGGAAATGGGAGGAGCTAAAGGGAAAGAAAACAAAAAGAAGGGAAAACGGTCTAAAATTGCTTAGGTGACACAACATCAACACTGGGCAGATGTAGGTCTAAACTTAAAATAGGTTAGTTAACTATTGTATAAATATATCCAAATAACTATTGTTGTAATTTACCGTAAAAACAAATGTAATAATTGAATTTACCAATATATAGAAATGTAAAAAAACCTGAAGAGGGGTGCAAGTGATATGAAAATATTCAACCCAAAATGCATAGTAAGTAAGAAAATAAAGAATACGAAGATAAGCTATTGTCTCTGATTAAATGCAGTCCAGGCAAAAAAAACCGTAGTTATTTCTGTAAAATTACCCATGAAGTTTCATCAATTTTTTGAGGAAATATTTTTCTTGAAAAATTGATTTTAAAAGGAATATTGCATCAAGTTTATAATTGTATATGCTATTCCTATGATGATGATAATATGTGCTTAAATTAAAGCATTCTTTTAATCTGAAATATTTTTATGTTAACTTATGAGTTCAGTGTTGCATGGCAAATTATATGGCAGACCTATTTAATTATATGTATGATTTAATTTGAATTTTTCAGATAAATACTACATAATAAATAATAATTATTTTTGGAGAAATTATGTATGTTTGGGAGGAATTTTAGGTCCTGAAAATATTCTGCATCCTTTTTTGTAACTTGCATTGCATCACATTACTTCTTGTTGCCTGGAGATAGCTACACTTGGTCAACCATATAGTGAGCAAAAAAAAAATCAAGGCAGCAAGATATTAAATTTCCTGACTTTTCATAACATTTTTTAAACATTGATGAAAATCCATGACTTTCCAAGTTTTTATTTTGATGGTTTTTAAACCAATATAAGCTGAGTAAAATGTTGGATTAGCAAAACATGTAAATATCAGGAAATTAAGAATGAAACAGTATGATAACAGAAACTTGAATCTTGTTCTAAAATTTGTTAATTTCTTTAAATTATTGCATTCAAAATTCCAAATTTCTAGGTTATTTATAAAAACAGAATCTAAAATTATTTTTTTTAATAATTAAATCAGTAATTTGCAATCCACTGTATAACCTGAATATAATTGTGTGTAATTATTAATCATCAATATAGTTATTGTTAATTCTCTTAAAGCTACATATGGTCAATAAAACACATTTCAAAAAGAACTAAATAGAATCAAATTTTCAATTCAAAATTAGTCTATAATGATGAATTTATAATCAAACTAGGTAGTTATATAAATAATCTGGTTTTATAACATAACATCAATAAATTTCACAATTAAATATTTACTGTACACATTTATTATTCAAAAATAGTCAAATATTCTCCATCCATTTGTATAATCAGGAAATTTGAAATAATTTTTAAAAATTATACAAATGCAATAGAGAGCATAGTCATATAATACAAAATTGATATGAATAAATTTTGTTATGATCCAAAATAATAAAATAAAAAATTATTCATATGAAAATAAAATACCTCTGACAATTTCTTTAGAACATCTGGAGTTCTATGCTCTGCTAGAGATTTCTGATAGAATGTCTGTGCTTTCTGAAGATTATTTAATTTTAAATACGAGCTTGCTATTCTTGCATATGCTCTGTAAAAAGAAATTTAGGATTTCATCATATTTACAGTTTAATTATAAAAAGATAAAACTTTAGCCATTATCAACATACTTTGCAATCAATTTGAAATCTGCTCTATTTTCTCTACCAATATCAATTGCTTTCTCACATTGTTCAATGCAAGTTTCATATTCTTTCCTCTCAAAATATACAGCTGAAATAAATATTTTTAAAAATTATTTTAGGCCAAGTTTTCGAGGTTCTACTGTATTATCTAATTTAGAACTATTCACAAAGAAAAACCTCAAAATAGTACCATATTCAGATTACTCAATAAAAAAACACTGACAAATTAATAAGAAAACTGATGAGAGTTAAAATAAAACCAACATATAGGCTACTGAGTTTNCTGTTCAGACTATAGTTACATAAATATATTAATAAAATAATGAGGACAGTTAGTCAATTTCAATGAGGATTAAAACACACAATAGGATATATTAGCCTAACAGAATTGCTTAGAAGTACATTATGACAACTAAAACAATTACTATATACATCAGCCTATATATAACAATAGCCCTAGCTTAACTATAATGTTTTATCTTGTTTACAACAACAGAATTATTTTCAGCTACTTTGCTAACAAAATTGGAAGATAACATTACAATTTTTATGAATTTGTTTCATTTTTTAAACTTTAAGTGCAGAAACTTAAAGTGAACTTAAATATTAATTATAAAGCAGAAAGTAACTTAAATATAAATTTTGTTTAAAAAATGTTGAATTTTAATATAAAATGAGTTTCATTTTATATTAAAATTCAACATAGAGGGGGGAAATCACTGTTCTGAAATTTTCCCCCTTTTATTAAGATTTTACTGTATTATAGTAATTTCGACCGAATAACAATGTTTTGACAAGATTGCTTTTATGTAAAATAAACTACTTTCAGAGTAGTTTGTTTATTTAATGTTTTTGTTCATTTAAGTAATCTTTAATAATAAACTTATGATACTAATCATTTAATATCATAAGTTTATTATTAATCATTTAATGTACTAAATCAAGCTTTCATATTTTTGTTTTATTTTTTTGTGATTATAAAATGAAAACTAATTCATAAGAATACATTTTGTATATATATTTTTTTAAATCTGAAATTCAGAACTATTTGCAGTAAATTAAATAAAAGTATAAAATTTTATTTCATTGATAACAAGTACATTGAATTTAGTTACACATTATTAGTTACTAGACATAATACTTGCAGCTTGTTACTAATTACAAATAACTTTATGCAATCAAAATTGTTTATGACTAGTCACTTATAAAAACTTGTAGCTATATGCAACAGGACAGGGGCCCATTGGTCTTTTTCTGAGAAGGACCATGTGAACTGTAAGAGACAAATCTGGGGGTAGGTACTGTACAAAAGATACAATGATTAAGATTAAAATGTTTTTATTTCTGAGTAACGACAGGCAATGTAAAATTTGCAACTGTAAAATTTGCAATGTAAAATTTGCAACTGTATTCAAAAGAATGTCAGAAAAATTGGAAATAAATTTTATGGCATCCAATATTAAAACCACTCAGATATTTGTTGGACAGTAAGTTTGATATTTTGATTTTTGAAAACATTTGTTTGCAAAAGTAGAAAACATCTTAAGATTTTAACATTGTCTTCTGGCAGAGATTTATAAAAATTTAACAAACTCCCTTCTTAAATACAGTTTTTATTAAAATCATTTGCAGCAAAGTCTATTGATTCTAGTTGACTTTTCAAAACTTTATATGCTTTGAACTAGTTCAGATGTTGAAGATAAAAAAACTGTGAAAACAAGCTATGCAGACCAGATAAACATGCTTTGAGGCCATATAAAGATCCCCAGACCATATTATATTATCATGATCATTATCAAGTAATGTATTATATATAAGTTATATAACTTTAAAAAATTATATTTATTTACAAAGTATTATTTGTAATAAAGCAAGATTTTATTATATAATTTATAAAATTTTTTTAAACCAACCTGCTTTATTAGTATAGAATGTCATATCATTTGGGTCCAATTTAATTGCTTCATCATAATGTTGGAGAGCTGTTTCAAAATCTTTCTTTTTGTAAGCAGCATTTCCTGCTTCTTTTTCTTTTAAAGCCTGTGAAAAAATAATTTAATTAAATTTGTAAAATAAAAACAATTTTATTTGTTTCTAACTTACTTTCTTCTTTTCTTCAGAAATATCTACATCCATTGGTTCTGCTTTCTGTGCATTCTCATTTTTAGTATTAGGTTTTGCTGAACTATCATTCTGAATATCAGTTGAATCATCCATTGAAGCATCACCACTACCATCATCACTTTTTTCAAGATCAATACCAAGTAAAACACTAAGTGTGGTCAACATTCTTGGATCCTTCAATGAAAGAGATCTAAAAATACAAAAAATTTCATAACATAAAAAAACACTTAAATTTTAATTGTTTGACAATTAAGTTTGGATCATGTGTTCTGTTATTTAAATTTATCTTAACAATTTTTAATGAATAATTTTCAGAAATTTTATTTTTATTACAGTTGAAAAACAAAAATAATATACTCACGTCATAGCAGAAGGATTGGAATGTAACTGTGAAAGCATTTTAACATATTCTGGATCCTTAAAAAAATCTTTTGTTCTAGGATCATTATGAAGTTTCAACAATGATGATGGATCTTTGAAAATATTTGGTATCCCTTTACCATCTTAAAAAGAAATAATATATAAAACAGTAGTAAATAATTTATAATTTATGAGAATCATTCAACTAACTAACCTCTTGCCATTTGATCTTCAACTTCTTTAATACCTTCTTTCAATTGTACATTATTAGGATCATGTTTCAAACCTTCTTCATATGCTTCAATAGCTTCTTCATAACGTTTTAAATAAGCTAATGAAGCTCCTTTACGAGAATATCCCTAGTAATTTAAATAAAATCTTTTTAATTTACTCTCAACTATAAAGATCAAAATTTCACTCGATAAAAAGTTAAAAATTATGGAAAAAAAATTCAGAATTTTTAACTATGAAGTAAATTTGAGTAATTAAAATTATAGGATCATGAATAAATGGTAGATTTTATATCACCACCATCTTATTTCTAGTTATTTCAGTAAAATTTATAATAATAATAATAATAATAATAATAATAATAATTCTCCCGTGGTCACCACCTGGTCGTGGTGGGAGAGCCCAGTAATTTTACTGAACCATAGGGCAATGCAGGCTGGAGCACAAGCTCCTGGTAGGGACACCCATGCCAGTAAGGTCTATGGGGAGAAATGAAGCTAAGAGTGACCACACACCCACATTCTGTGGAGATAATCATTATGGTAGTAACCAGATCTAAGTATGATACCGGCTCGGACGTCGCCCGGGTTAACAAGGTCCGCGTTCGTGGGTTAGGCAGAGGCTCACGTTCGAAAAATAGGCTCCAGTCTCCCTTGGTTACCGGTGGCGAAAGCAGCGCCGGCCCAAGCATGGCTACTGCAATGCCCTCAACAGATGTGAGGAATCAACCTAGCCTTGGTGTTTCTGTGGCAATGCATCCACAGACCACAAAGGCTGGAAAACCACGCCAACGGATGAAATGGACAACAGAAATGAACGAGTTTATCATCCGCACTTACTACACCATCACAAGACTCGAAACAAACATGACAGCATACAGACAACAACTACACCATAGATTCACACAACAATATCCTCACCTCACTGTCACCGAACAAAGGGTTGTTGATCAAAAACGAACAATTATACACAACAACCTTATCCCACAAACAACACTTGAACTTATCAAACAACAGGTTGCTGATCAAATACATCAACAGACAGAAACATTTAACATTAATGAAGATCACGTAACCTGTCAGGATAATCCAGCAACAAGCACTGATTACAGCACACACACAACAAGTACCACTAATGATACTGCAGGCACTTCCCCATCCATCACTGATAACGTAGACATAGAATTAGTTAATACACTCTCACTTATATTTCAGGAAACACTCACTAAATATACAGGTACAGATCCCACACAAAGACCACGAATACCGAAAATCAACACGTCAAAGGTAGTAGGAAAAACACTAAATTATGTAAACACTCACTTACTACCAAACTACATTCATTCAATTTCTACACTCTCAGACATTCATACATTAGTTTATGCTGGGGCAGTCACAGTAGTAACACACCATGGACTGAAAATACACTCACAGACAGACACACACAAAACACAATTCTATCACAAGCCTGCCTGGCAGAGAAGAATAGAAACACAAATAAATGACATTAGACAGCAATTAGGCAGGCTGACACAATACACTAAAAACAACATAACACCCAAATTAAAGAAACAACTCAAAAACATTTTCAAGAAAATCAAAACACACACAAAACATGAACATCACAACACACACATTACAGAATACATCGATACACTAAAACAAAAACTCGCAGCCAAAGCACGTAGACTCAAACGATACAAAACATGTACACTACGAAAACAACAAAATAAATTATTCACAAACAATGAAAAACTTTTCTACAGACAAATCAGTACCAAAACAAACACTGATACACAGCACAGTGGCACACCAACAGAAGAAGAACTCACAACTTATTGGTCTTCTCTTTGGTCCAATGCTGTTACACACAATGCTGATGCAGGCTGGATCGAGGAGGAGAACAGAAACTTGCACAACATACCAACTATGCCCTGTGCTGAAATAAACATACACGACATTCGCTACGCTGTTAACAGAACACACAACTGGAAGACACCTGGTGTAGACAACATTCACAATTTCTGGTACAAAAAGTTTACATCACTGCACCAGGAACTAGCTAAACATCTAACACACATCATCATCAATCCACAAGACATGCCAAAATTTCTTACTCAGGGCATCACCTACATGAAACCTAAAAACAACAAAACCACAGACCCCACACAATACAGACCAATTACATGTCTTCCAACACTCTACAAATTATTGACATCCTGTATCACAAACAAAATATACAAACATGTTGAAGAACACGACATTCTTACAGAACAACAAAAAGGTTGCCGTAGAAATCACAGGGGATGCAAAGAACAGTTACTCATAGATTCAGTCATTCTACGGCAAGCACACAAACAACACAGAAACATACACATGGCATATATAGACTACAGAAAAGCATTCGACAGTGTTCCACACAGTTGGCTGCTACATATTCTACACATGTACAAAATACATCCATCACTCATTGCATTCTTCGAAAACACTATGCAGCACTGGAGAACAACACTACATCTCAGGGTTAGTAACACTTCCATACAAACAAACGAAATATTCATTAGGCGAGGAATTTTTCAAGGAGATTCCTTGAGTCCTCTCTGGTTCTGCCTAGCCCTGAATCCATTATCCAACATGTTAAACAACACGCAATACGGCTACAATATCAGACACGAAAAAACAACACAGTTTACACTCTCACATCTCATGTACATGGACGACATAAAACTTTATGCATCCACACAAAAACAACTTCATCAACTCCTACAAATCACACATTCATACACTAAGGACATACAAATGGAGTTTGGCCTAGACAAATGCAAAAAACTTCACATAGAAAAAGGAATCCTGAAGAAAGAAGATTTTGCACTTGGAAATGGAGACGTTATTGAATCCATGGAAGAGGGCGAGTTCTACAAGTACTTAGGATTCCAACAGGCCAAACTAACAGAACATACACAAATAAAGCAACGATTAATTAAAGAATACCAAAGTAGGTTAAACGCTATACTTAGAACACAGTTAAATGCAAAACACACAGTTAAAGCAATAAACACATATGTCATCCCAGTACTCACATACTCTTTTGGAGTTATACATTGGACTCACACAGATCTCGAGCAACTCCAAAGGAAAACAAGAACAACACTTACTAAGCATAAACAACATCATCCTAAATCCGCCACAGAAAGATTAACCCTTCCACGTAAAGAAGGCGGACGTGGCCTGATTGACATAGTTAACCTTCACTACAAACAAATACAGTCACTGCGAGAGTTTTTCTACAAGAAACAAGAAACATCACAGTTACATAAAGCAGTAACTCTAGCAGACTCAAATAACACACCATTAAACTTACACTCACAACATACAGACATGACACAACATATAAAAAGCATAGACAACATTAAGCAATCATGGGCTCAAAAGGCTCTCCATGGCAGGCATCCTTACGACCTGGCCCAGGATTTTGTTGACAAAACTGCGTCAAACAGCTGGTTAGATCGGGGATGCCTCTTTGGGGAGACGGAAGGATTCATGATTGCCATACAGGATCAGGTCATAAATACTAAAAACTACAGAAAACACATACTCAAAGATACAACACTCACAAATGACACATGCAGAAAATGTCACATCATGCCAGAAACTATACAACACATCACTTCTGGTTGCAAGCTCTTGGCACAGACAGATTACTTACATAGACACAATCAAGTAGCAAATATAATACACCAAGAGCTTGCAAAGAAACACAAATTGGCAGACATCCACGAACCATACTACAAGTATATTCCACAGACAGTATTGGAAAACAACACGCACAAAATGTACTACGACAGAGCCATAATCACAGATAAAACAATTTACCACAACAGACCAGACATCACACTCATTGACAAACACAATAAAATCACATACATTATAGACATAGCCATTCCAAACACTCACAATGTACAAAACACATGCACTGAAAAAATTAGCAAGTACACAGAACTTGCCCAGGAAATAAGGCATCTGTGGAGGATGGATAGGGTAGTTATTGTACCTGTTGTTCTCTCCTGTACAGGTGTGATACCACACATGCTACACAAAAGCCTGGGAACATTACAATTGAGTAGAAATACATACATCACACTACAGAAGGCCACTACATTGAATACAGGCCACATTGTTAGGAAATTCCTTAATACTGACACTGACACACACATTTAATTTTAGTTTTGTTTTGGTTGCTATGCCTTGACTCTGGTCCAGCATAGTACACAGCCACCGGTTTAAACCGAGTATTACCTACTAAACACAACAACAATAATAATAATAATAATAATAAATTGAAATTATCTAAATTGTTGTTAGTAAATAATATTTTACTTCTAATATATATAAAAATAGAATTCTATATTTAAATAAATTTGATTTGAATATTTATCATAGAATTTTGAACTTCATTTAACTTATAATAATTATACACAGTATCATTTTCGAATCTTAAAAATACACAATAGAATCTGCTTACTATGATTATTTTGGAACTTATTTAATTATTGTTATCAATACAACATTAATAACATAGTTCAAGGGTCACACTGCATAGTACCAAAATTGTCACTTGACAATATTTTTATTAAAGTGGCAATAAAACCCTAGTCGCCTTATTTTGACATTCAGCATGAAATTGAATCACAAAGCAAATTTCAGGAAAAATAGCAGAATGTCACGCTCCTGTACAAAGGGAGTTTCATGCACCACACTCTTAGTGGTGTCATGACATCACACAGCAACTTTGAACAGGAAAATAGCAAGTGACATTGAGAACTAATTTTCATGCAATGCCACCCAGCATTTCCAAAGTGAGGATTTTTTATTAATTGATAGAAAATTTGGGGTGACATTTTTTCACTTCGATTTCTTTTTTCAGTAGACTAAAGCATAAAAATTCTGACATGAAAGAACCTATGAAATACTGTTGAAGTACTGTGATCAAATTTATTATTCAGAATTATTCAAAAAGAATTCCTATTTCTAAGTGACAGCTTAACACACTATTTTTGCTTTCCAGACTCCAAACTGATAAGGTTACCAGCACTTGCATTAATTAGTAAGTAAAACTAGTAGCAATAAAT